TATATATATATCCGTATATAGCAAAAAGGCTCAGTATACAAAAAATAAACTTGCACGTATTTTTGAAATGTACATCGTAATGTGTGGAGACTAAATTTTCACAGTTCTAAATTTCGCCTGTTCGAGCTCATACATTTTGTTTGCTTACGTCAATGTTAAATAATGTCTCCATATTTTTTCTGAGATTGTTGCAAGACTTATTCATTGCATAGAAAATGATACTCGTTCCGCGAGAGCTCAATATTAAAATGGGATAAATAATTAAATAAAGCCAATTGAATTAAAGTGAATTTACGCGTTACATAATTTTACCTCATTTATTGCTCCTAAGCTGAGATAACTTCGTGACTCAAGGAGAGTCGTCATTTACATATAACTTTATGCTCACAGGCATTATATTTTACAAATTTGTTCCACTTATTCCTTTTCAATTAACGATTAAATCTTTCATTTTTTTGCATAAAAAAATACATGTTATAACGCGAGAAAGAAGAAACTCTGTATTTCATACAGTTTCGAATGCAGCTTCATAATAACACATTCACTGTTCGCGAGACATAAAACTTACAAATATTTTCGTGTACATGCTCATCAAATGTTATTTTGAATTTATCTGAGGCAAAGCACTTTCTTAGAAGAAAATTCTTATATTTGAAGTGTTGCAGAAAGTGTAAAGAGAGTTTGATCATTGATCACTAAGAGTGATCGAATCATAACTGTAAGAGATAAATTAAACGGCCACAGTGAGCGTTAAGAAAAAAAAGCGGCCCTTTTGCTCTGCCCTTATTTTTCAACATGTAAAAAAAAAAAAAAAAAAAGAATAAAAGAACTTCCGATAATGAATTATGTTACATAATTATGTTACAGAATTATGTTACATAATTATATATTATATTTTAACATTACATATTATATTTTAATATGTAATTTTTAAAAAAATGATCGTGCTATGGCTTACTTAATTTTTTTTTCGCAATAATAGATGGCAAAACCTACGTATATTCTCGTAGATAAAATCAATTGCGAGCGGTAAGTTCTGGTCTAAAATTCACATTTCATACAGCACAGTTGGAACTGAGAACTCGTAAACTGCAGTGAGGAAGTGGGAGGGAAAAGGAAAATGTTCACACAACTATAATAAATAGCGGAGACCGGTGCCTTCTCTACTTTTACATATTTAAGTCTATTCCGAGAGAGAGTTTCAATTTTTCTACGTGTACTGGCACAACTGTTTCCATTCTCTGTATTCTGTAAAACGCACTGCACTATTCACTTAGATTCAGATCGATTCCACAGCGCTCTATCGACCTTTTTGATTGAATTACTTCCCTTCCGAGAATTTCTCCCTCAGACTTTTAATCTTGTGGACGAAGTACGTCTCCAAGGATTCGGCGCATTTGAAAAATGGTGATTCCTTCGGGTTATAATATCGACAATTATCGAATATCTTTGTCATGTCACCGATGAACTCGCTGAGTTTCTTGTAGGATCGATCATTTATCCTCAATTCAATAGTTTGCAAGTCTAAAATAAAAATAATTATATTTTATATATATATATATATA